CACACACACACACACACACACACACACACACACACACACACACACACCCTGTAGTCCCCTCTCACTTTCTAAATGCATGTGTGACATACTTCTCTTCCTAGTGCTCCTTGAGATGCCAGTAAGGACAGGAGCTGGCAGAAGCATCTGTTTCACCACTAAGTAGCATCTCTTGAGAGGACCTGTGTCCCTCCTGAAGCCATATACCCTACCATGCCACTTGTGTCTTGCCTTTCTTGACCCTAGGTACTGGCGGAGGACACTGGGTATGCAAGTCCGCTATGTACACCATGAGGACTATCAGTTCTGTTACTCCTTCCGGGGCAGGCCAGGACACAAGCCATCCATCCTGATGCTCCATGGATTCTCTGCACACAAGGATATGTGGCTCAGCGTGGTCAAGGTACACGTCCAGACTCTTCTGCCTCAAAGAGGAGAGGGATGGGAACACAGCTCAAGTTCAGTCTTAAAATTAATGACCTATATTATTCAGACTCTTTTTTTTGGGGGGGGGGTTCAGAATTGACTGAGATGAGCAGTATTTTAAAAACCTATGTATCTGGAATCTTCTCACCTTAGGGATATTGTAGGCAGGGGTCAGGGTGGGGTGATCTATCCATCTTTGAACTGCCATGATGCTTGAGGATGGGCTTTTCCTAAAAGTATTAGTTCTCTTACATTCCACATTTTCTCTTTTCTTTCCTTGTTTACCCCCAAACTCTTCTTTCTGCTCTTTTTTTCTTTTCCTTAATCATTTATAGAAATGGTCTGGATCTGGCAGTGTTTTAGAATCCTTTTCGAAGTTGCTTTTCATGCTGTTGACTTGGGTGGCCTCTCACCATACTTTGTGAGCACAGGCAGCTGGTGGGAGGCTGAGGCTGGCACCTGTTTTGAGACACAGCATTCTGGGTTCCTCCTTCAAGTGGGACAGTATCTGAGGGATCATAAATGTCTCCAGGAGGAAAAGCGCACATACCGTTGATGTGCTTGTGTTCTTTCCTAATGCCACCTAGGGGACAGCTATCTTCAAGCCTTGATGAATCTTTTTTGTCCCCTCTTTAGTAAACATCTTTGATAACTGATGTTTCTTAGACTCCTGGCTAAAGTTGGTGTATCTTTTAGGCAGAGAGGAAAGATGATTTTGGAGAATAATTGTCTCAAGATTTAGACCCTGTTGAAGAAAAAAAAAGAAAGTTGAAACCAGCCTCATGGCTTTGGGTAAAGGCACTCCTCCTTTTGGCTCTGGAGTTGGCTAGGGCTCTGGGAACCATCTCTTCAAGTTCCAAAGCAACAGCCATGTGGTGGAAGGAAGTATGGCATGGGAAGCAAAGGAAGTGGTACCGAGCAAACAGTGTTGTTTAGAAGTCTTAAGATGTTGGAGCCATCAAAATGGCTCCTAGGGAAAGGCACCATGTAAGCCTGATAAGCTGAGTTTGGTTCCTGGAGCCCACAGAAGGTGGAAGGAGAGGACCAACACCTAAAACATAATGGTAAATTAAAAAAAAAAAAAAAAATAAGCCTAAGGTGTAAACCTGCTAGCCAGTGTTTTGCATCCCTTCTCCAGTCACCCACTGAGCCTCTTTTCATCTGTGCACCAGTCTGGGGGCCCTCTCTTTTCTATGAGTGTTCTGTCAATACTTATTCACATTTATCATGTAAGACACATGGAGGTTCAGAAACAATCTTAGTGGCTGTTGAGGTCACTGGATAGGTGAGGCTATTTCCCCAGAGAAATGGGAAGACACTTTTTTTGTAGATCACATACTGACCATCTGGGTTTTCAGTTCCTTCCAAAGAACCTGCACTTGGTCTGTGTGGACATGCCTGGACATGAAGGCACCACCCGTTCTTCCCTGGATGATCTGTCCATAGATGGGCAAGTTAAAAGGATACACCAGGTAAGCGGGAGGCTCTATCCGAAGTGCCCAGATGGTTTCCTAACACATGGACAGCAGGCAAGAGTTGCACACTGGCTCGTGGCCAGTCCCTAGTATATTCAATCTCCAAGTGATTGCAAACAAAATGGCAGCCTAGGGATATCTTTGGTCTTTTTCCTTTAAGCCTACAAACTTTTTGAAATAGGGTGTCATGTAGCCAGAAGACTACCTTGAACTTCTGATTCTCCTACCTCTACCTCTCAAGTGCAACAATTACAGGACTGTGATACTACATGTTTTGTTTGGGGACTGGGAATCAAGCCTAGGAGTTTGTACATGCTACGGAAGCACTCTACGACTGAGTTATATCCCCTGCCCATTTGTACATGAAGAAGTATAATCTGAGCAGTTTCTTAGCCCTCTGAAAAAGGCGTTTAGAATTCTACAGAACTGTGCCCTTTGTGGAGGTCTATTTTTCTGCTCTGTGTGGTTAGGGATGGGAGACTTTGCATACTGCTGTGTTTTAGAATCCATCTCTGGCTCTCTACTAAAGTCACTCATTAGCCCTTTCTTCTTTCCATCCTTCCTTCATTTATTTATTTATTTAGTTAGTTATTTTTTGAGACAGGGTAGTGTAGCCTTGGCTGTCCTGAAACTTGCTCTGTAGACCAGGCTGCCCTTGAACTCATAGAGATCTGTCTGCCTCCGCCTCCCAAGTGCTGGATTAAAGGTGTTCGACACCACCACCGGAACGATCCCTTTCTTCACAGAATAGTTTCTACGTTTTAGGTTCACATTGGTGTTTTTTTCCAAGTTAGAATATTTACTTGGTAGTTTCTGCCTCTACTGTTAAACTATATATTTTAATGAGGCCTTATTGTCTGGCTCTTTGTTGTATCCTTAGCAGCTAAACATAATTACTTATATGTAAAAAATATCCAACAGATTTTTTCCAATGAGAGATATATGCATAAATGACTGATTGGACAAATGACTACCCAGATAGTGCTTCAAATGAAGCAGGAGTCCTCAGACTGGCCCCAGGCTGTCATCTACTTGTGTAAACTAAATTTTATCAGAGCACAGCCACGCTTGCTTACTTAGGTATTGCCTCTGGCAGCTTTTGCAACACAATAGCCGAGCCAAGGAATGACACAGAGACCAGCTGACCCACACAGGAAAAAAAAAAAAAAAATTGATGCCTTGGTTCTTTATAGAACAGTTTATGACTTATTATGGGAATTCTCGGTGTTTGGTTTATATTTATCAATGACCCTACAGTCATATGTGCCATATAAAACAAAGTATGTATACTTCACAGGACTCACCTAGATAATGGGTCAAATAGTATCAGACCCAGAAGAGTATTAAGTCTTATTGGGGGAATGGGAGTTCATTGCTGACATCTCAGCTGTAATCACGTCTCCTCTTTATTTTTCTTCCTAGTTTGTAGAATGTCTTAAGCTGAACAAAAAGCCCTTTCACCTTATAGGCACCTCCATGGGTGGCCACGTGGCTGGAGTATATGCCGCTTACTACCCATCTGATGTCTGCAGCCTGTGTCTTGTGTGCCCTGCTGGTGAGTTACATAACCAAGAACAACCTTACAAGTGTCTTGGATTTAAAGAAACATTTGCGTAGTTTCTTTTCTGGCTACTTTAAAAAGTCATCTTTCTGGTATAGACTGCAAAGACAGGTAATGTTTCCTGGCATCTCTGACCAGGTAAGTTGTACGATGAGACCCATAGCCAGACTGACTTGAGCTGTGGAGCCAGCTCTGCTGCAGAGAACTGGAGGTAGGCAGTGGATGTGCACACAGTGCCAAGTGGCACCTGATTCTCATGACTGTGATGCTTATGTTAGCTTCCAACATTTATGGATCCCCAAGAGCTAATATCTTTTATAGACTGAGTACTCGCCTAACCTTGTGAAATGCAGGTACTATTATGTTCTGTTTCTTTTGCCAAAAATTTTGTTCAAGATTTTTTTTATAATTTTTATCATTATGTGTTTATTGTACAAAGTGGTGAATTAATAGAACTATTTTCATCTAAGGTATCGTGTGCTGTGACCATAGTCATCTTCATTCGCTATGTCACACCCCTCACTAGTCCCCTTCTTCCAAGTAGTCACATGACAAGAACTTCTTAAGAAGTTGGCGTTTTTAAATTTCTCCTCTCATATTTGTATATGTGTTTTGTACACATTCACATACACACACACACACACACATCTTAGAATAATTTGAGCTATAACTCCAGAAGTTACTATCTCAAGTTGAAGTTTTCAATTTATTTTTCTCCCATCAGTCTTTACGTTTAGATTGATAGGATGCAATAGATAAAATGGTAATTTCTCTCTTTCTCCAACTTGATTCCTGTCTTCTTCTGTCTTTGATATTAGGGCATTATTTACATATTGTAAAGTGGATTTTGTTTGTTTGTTTTGACAGAGTATATCTCTTTAGTCCTAATTAGCCTTGAACTTGTAATGCTCCTGCCTCAGCTTCCCGAGTACTAGGATTGTAGACAGAAGCCATCACACTTGACTGAAGTGCTCAAATTATACTGATTTTTCTTTAATTATACATGTTTTACTTGCATGTATTTTATGTGTACCATGTGTGTGGCTGGTTCCCTTGTTGGTCAGAAGAGGGCATGGGATCCTTCTGGAACTGGAGTTAGCAGAAGTTTTTGAGTTACATGTGTATCCTGGAAACCAAACTGGGGTCTTCTACAAAAGCAGTGGGTGCTTTTACCCCCTGAGTCATCTCTTCAGCCTCTAATACTCACATTTAGATGTATAACTCAGTGACCTTTTACATATGTGATAACTGTAGAATCAAAAGTATTTTTCCCATTTTCTAGATGAGAACGTTAAGGCACAAAGAAATATTCTTAGTGCCTGAGCCAGGACAGAAGCAGATCCCAGACTCTCTGAATCCAGACCAGATAGCCCTTTTACAGTACAGCTTCTTTGCAGTTCTTAGCCTTCCTGATGCTGCAACCCTTTAATACAGTTCCTCATGCTGTGCCGACCCCCAGACATAAAATTTTCATTGCTACTTCATAACTGTAATTTTCCTGCTGTTATGAATTGCAGTGCAAATATCTGATATGCAGAGTATCTGCTATGCTACCCCTGTGAAAGGGTCATTTGACCCCCGAAAGGTTGTGACCCACATTGACCTTTAAAACCCTTCAGCTAGAGGCTGAAGAGATGGCTCTGAGGTCAAGAGCACTGGCTGCTTGTCAAGAGGACCCAGGATCAATTCCCAGTACCCACATGGCAGCTCACAGCTGTCTCTTAATTCCAATTCCAGGGGATCCGACACCCTAACACAGGCATACATGTATGTGCACAGGTATGAATATGTGACTACACATGAAATAAAAATAAAACTAAAAACAAAATTTATATATAATATATATATACAGATATATATATATATATATACAGATATATATATATACAGTACCAACAAAACCCATCCATTCAGCTACCATGAAAGTTGATCATTTCCAGGCCTGTTAAGGACACTGAGCTCAAAGACAATCTCCCTGTGGATTTTTTCTTCCCCTTTTCTCAGAACCGTTTTTGAAATCTATTGGTCTCTTAATAATAAAGTTTGGGGACTGAAGGAGCAGCCACCCAGGGAAGGTTATTCACCTTCCTGGCAGAAGGTCAGCCCTGAGCATCATCATATGCTTCCTCCAGTCTTTTTAGAATAACGCAGGCATGGAGACTCGCAGTGCTTCCCACACTCCACCATGCTCATCCCCTTGCAGCTTGTTGACATACAGGTTCTGATTAAAGAGGCTAAGGGACAGCCTGAGTTTCTGCATTTCATCCTGGTCTGTGGCCATGGGATGTGCAGTCAGACCTAAAACATAACGTTGATTTAATCTGGACTAGCTTAGAATTTATTATGTAGCCCAAGTTGGCCTTGAACTTGTGGTTCTCCTGTCTCCGCCTCTTGAGGCATGTATGTACCATCATGCTTAAATCCTAAAATATCTTGGATAATATATTTTTCTGTACTTTTCAAAATTCGATTTTTACTTTGAGCAAGGGTGCCAGTACCAGTTTAAAAGGGATCTCCTAATGAATGAAGCTCAGCATGTTAATGCAGGTTTGTCATTGGACGTTTTCTCGGGCATGGTAAGAAGGTGGGTGTGTATCACCAGGCTCTTCTGTTTTCCATCCCAGGCCTGCAGTATTCAACTGACAATCAGTTTGTACAACGGCTCAAAGAGCTGCAGGAGACAGCTGCTGTTCAGAAAATTCCCTTGATCCCATCCACCCCGGAAGAGATGAGTGAGATGCTGCAGCTCTGCTCTTATGTCCGCTTCAAGGTGCCCCAACAGGTGCTGTGTTTCAGTGCCGCGCCCTGGCCCTCCCCCTGCATACCCAGTTGGATCTGCTCTCTGACTCCTTTCTGTCTGCTCCATTTATTCAACATGTAGCTTAACGGTAATAAGTCAGACACTGTGCTGCACACTGTGGTAAATACATAATACAGGGAACTTCCCTGGGCAGATACAAGTCAATGCAGGTGGTGGACAACGAGTCGACAAAAATTTACACATTGAAATGAGTTTTAGAGGTAAAATGAAGATAGTGTAGATATTTAAGGTACTTTGAAGGATCATGTGTAGAGTGGGAAAAAAGGTACATAGATTTGTGGCAATAAAAAGAAAGAAAGAAGGAAGGAGGGAAGGGGAAGGGAGGGAAGGAAGGAGAAAGAAAGAGAAAGGAAGGAGGGAGGGAGGAAAGAAAGAAAGAAAGAAAGAAAGAAAGAAAGAAAGAAAGAAAGAAAGAAAGAAAGAAAGAA